CTGAACCTCTGTAGATCTCCTACTTCCACTGTCATCCTGGTAGGAAAATGGTCCAAGGATACCGAAGACAGGAGCGAGCTGCTCTTGTCATGCTCTTGTCATAGTTCTATTGGATGTCCAGTTTCTCCTTAACCATTCATGCAAGAGAGGGGGAGCTTTGTGTAATGGATGTAATACGTATCACATGCAACATTAATCTGACCATCCTTTGGTTGCTATGTTGCAGGCAACTTGGTGGGTATTAAACCTTCCTACCCTGTGCCTGTAGGATTTACAGCAATAAGGACTCGAAAACTGCAATGGGAAGAGGAAGATGGCTCCCTTCAGGAACACAAGAAGAAGCTCCGTAAGATTACTGATTGCTGTCAAGCCATTTTTGCAGGCGAGGGATAAAAAGTAACTCACTGCTTCAACCCATCTGCCCTGATTAACAAGGGTTATTCTCCTTGTACCTTGCTCCTCAATTTACCCAGTTAAAAGTAATTATGATTCACGGCTGACAAATAATAGGATGTGACTTCGCTAGAACCCGTGTAGCTGCAGAACGCCAGCTAGCAAAGAATGGCAGTCTGGCTTATGGACATTCCTGACAAGGCCCCAGTCTGATTTTTGAATTTTGGATATAATTGCAGAAAGGCTCACTTTCCTGCAGAGGCACATTTCCATCACCTGCAAGAAATGCTTTGTGCTTCCTGAGTACACACTGGTAACTCATAACACCTCTTCACTCCCCACATTATACTATTACCTCAGTGCTCTCGGGCATGTATAGCAGCAGAATACATGTAAACCGCACACCATGACACTTCCACGTGCAGCACCAGATCCTTCAGACAGTACAAGACAGCCACTGTAGTGCTGTTCTATGCCTGGTAAAGACCAACTTCTTACTTGTTAGTCCACCTTATCAACATATTCACTGGGTTCCTCTGCTTTACTGATGCTGAAGTACTTTCTAACATCTTGATTTTGAATTTTTCTAGCAGATCATGGGAAGTTCTTATCTGGAAGTGCTAGTTACTTCTAAGTGCCATTTTACTGCAGATATAATTGGACATCAAGCACTGATCTTGGACGTTATCCAAAACCTAATTAAGTAGTTAGATACTTAGATCAGGCTGTAACAGAAAATGAAAATGTTGAATGTGGCTGACAAGCAGGTCTGATCTACCAGCTCTGTTTACAATACTTGAAAGGATTCTCTTTGCAGTATAATTTATATGAGCAAAGCAAAATTACATGTGCAATAGTGAAGGTCAAATTCCAACCTCCATCATGGCCCCATTGCTTTCGACTGGAACATAAAGGAGGGGCCTCATCTCTAACTTCAAGTAATTGTGAAAGTCTCCAGACTGCAAAGGAAGAGAAAGCATCCACAATCTGAAGGCAACCCAAAACAATAATTCTAAGGCAAATGCCACCACAGTTCACTCAAGCTCAGAGCAAACAGTAACACCAGGTCCAGTGCCTGGTGTCCATATTTCATTCTTCACCAGAACAGCGAAAGCTTTGAGCTATGGCGACACTTGCACTGCTGATGCCATAAGCAGATATAGAACTGGATGTTGTGGGGCAGCCCTGAGGTTAAGAGGAATAAGAGATTTAAAACTCACCTCCCTTCCCTGAAATGCCATGCTATTTTTGTCCTTAACCCTAAAATAAGGTTTGAAAGATGCAACTTCTTCCCACTGCCAAAAGCCTTCATTACTTCCTGAACAACAACAAAACCCAATGCTCTTGCCCATTTATTCCAAGATTGTCATCTGTTCCCACCCAGCTGCCAAAACCTCCAGCTTTTCCTCTTGGCAACCTCTACTGGGCAGTTGCTAGCTGTCAAAAAGCTGAAGCACATCAGAAGCTTAACATTTGGGACAGCATGAAGTAAACAGCATTTTAATATTAAAATGAGTAGTTTTGCAAAATACACTTGGGAAAATGGGAAAACCACTCTGAAACGAATGAGTAGTAAGAA